TCTATATGCGGTGCTCTGATGAAGATGGGCAGGTTGCCCCTCTGGTTCAGGTCGGGGTTGTGAAGCATCGTCCACACCAACTCCAACATCCAGGTTGTCCCAGACCTGGGCATTCCCATCACAAGTACGTCACCATCAGTGAACTGAAGAGAACACCAACGTTATTGTAGTATACATTATAGAGAACATTACAAGTGTATACATTTGACACCCACATCTACCAGGGGAGTGTGATCTGGGCACCGTTCACCCACCACCCTCCCGACCAAGTACATTCATGACACTTTAATATGGGTAAAGTAACAATAAAGACAATACACCTTGTAGTTGTAGATGGCGTCAGCATATTTGGTGAAGACCGTTGGGTAGAGCCAGCCTCCGGGCCTGAGGCGGACCATACCTTGGTTGTAGAGCGTCTGTTCCTGCTCCATCCTGGCCAGCCACTCCTCGCTCATGGCCTCCACCTCGTGACCACTAGCCAGCGTCGTATTCATCCTCCTAGGTACAACTACACGGGTCGTTATGGCAGTCATGAAAATACCTCGTCTATGTCAGGCATTACAGTGATAGATAAAGTGTCAGTACTTTAATAAACATTTTTACAATTTGATGGCGAGGAAGATTATTTGTGTATGCGTGACATGGCCCCATGTCAGGGCTGTGTCGGCCGATGACCTGTTTATATGTGACGCCAGGAATGGGGGGTGGGGATGTGAACAATATTAGTTGGTAAGGGTATTAGGTGAACATTATGAAAGATGGGTAGACTATGTGGGTCGGGGAGGGTGGGGGAGGTGTCGAAGCTTTACTAGTTCCTGCACTTCTATTCAAATTATATAGAACAACAATACAACTATACTCAAAAACTAAGGTAGTTATTTCAAAAAGAAAAATTGTTCTTAAAATAGGGAATGGAGCGCAACTAGCGCCACCAGTCATTGCTCATTGGGTGGGGATGTTTGGGCAGATAGAAATCTAACAGTCACCAGACCTACCACACCACACACTGAACTATGAAACGTCTGCCTCTGCAAGAACCAGAAGCACAACATAATCTGTAAATAATGCCGTGCAAGTTAATACTAGTATCCGAAATACTTAAATTTAGATCCGATAGATACACACATACCACACTTGTCATTAGGTGTATATACAACTTTACCAAGTCTGCCAAAACCTGATGATAAAAACTCCGTCTACTTACAACTACACAGTCGTTATATTACCTTCACAACACTAAGTCCACCTACAATGATAAGCCGACCGACTAAGAACGAGATTGTATATATTTTAAACACACACAGTCGCATTGTCAAGAACTGGCCTAATAGTCAGCGATAAATCCAGACATCAATATATATTTAAATAGTACAAACTCCCTGCCATTGCGGGGCGCGTTACCAGCAATTAGTTTGTCGTTTCAACGTTGCGTTATTGACAGTCCGCACAGAAGCCAACTTAACCCATAATAGAGATGGACCAAAATTACATTCTCCAGATTAAATGTGGCATCCACTGTACTGTTATGCCATTCCTGCAAGACACCAAACACTAACGAGTTGCTCAATAAAGAAAGATCACTTGGCAAGGCAGTATTTACAGCGTGCACAGATCGCGAGGAGCAGTACGAGCTGTTCGGCTCTTACATTCCCTCCAACATTATATTTCCTCCTTACAGCGTCGGCAAATAATTACAACCATTTTAATAATTTCTCTACTTATACTGCACAATTACACCAATCAGTGTCTTTTCACAAATAGAATGCAACTACACTATGCTCACTCCAAGAGAACTACTGCATTTGGCAACTACTATATCTACACAAAGTTATTAAAGCAGATGGTTACACATTCCCTAAATTATTTTCACAGTTTAACTATAGTCTTCCCTGAGGAATATTCTCTTAAATACGTCAACACACTACATCTCACGTTGTGACACTGAAGGTGGGAGGAACAGCAACACAACTACTCACACCAACACAATCTACACATATGACCTGTTATTGGCTCAGGCTCCACCAAAGCCAACACCCCAGTGTTACCAACTCGGCTAATTAAGTACTCACATCCATCTAGTGATACCAATTCAGTGTAAAAATTAATGCTTAGTCAATTATTTTAAAGATAGTAAAAAAACAACTGTAAGTAAACATAGAGAAAAATGAGGCACAAATTTATGTTAAAGAAGAACAGTAGAATGCTTCGTTAAAATAATTGTGAACATTAATTCCGGTTGTTTCCAAAAATCTCGCCCGTTCTCACGCTTGAACAAACGTTTAAATTAAAGGAGTTTACTCCACAATATGTGTAAAAACCTTAACTCTAGAGGACAATGACCTGTAATTGGAGGAGGCATTTTGGTGGCTGGTATCTATAGTGTGGAGGTCACTGGTCATTACGTGTGAGAACGAGGGAACTGTACAGCGATCTCACCAAAACCGGACCTAACAATTAATGAATGTTTACATGTGCACTATGGAAGGAAGCGTAAACATTAACATGTTTTATAGAAAATACAAGCGTGTAAATGTGTAGGTTTTCTCCTCTTAAACAACATCAGCATCAATAACTAAGATTTTGTCTATCGTCAGCAGAGTACGATAGCAGTGATATCCTGGATCCGGATTCACAAAGCAGTTACGCAAGTACTTACAAACCTTTACATCTTTCCTCAATCTTTGACGGCTTTGGTTACATTTATTAAACAGTTTACATGCATGAAAATTTCCCAATCAACTGTTGTTATTGTTATTAACAGTATTCTGGTGCTTCGGAGCTCATTAACTGTTTAATAATTGTAAACAAAGCCGTCAAAGATTGACAAAAGATGGACAGGTTCGTATATGTTTGTGTAACTGCTTCGTGAATCTGGCCCCCAGACTGATAGACAACACCCATTAAAATAAACATGGTTACTTAATTATAGTAGGCACCTTACCCTGGGATGTGGTACAGTCACAGGTCGGCACCTTACCCTGGGATGTGGTACAGTCATTGGTCGGCACCTTACCCTGGGATGTGGTACAGTCACAGGTCGGCACCTTACCCTGGGATGTGGTACAGTCATTGGTCGGCACCTTACCCTGGGATGTGGTACAGTCATTGGTCAGCACCTTACCCTGGGATGTGGTACAGTCATTGGTCAGCACCTTACCCAGGGATGTGGTACAGTCATTGGTCGGCACCTTACCTTGGGATGTGGTACAGTCAGAGGTCGGCACCTTACCCTGGGATGTGGTACAGTCATTGGTCGGCACCTTACCCAGGGATGTGGTACAGTCACAGGTCGGCACCTTACCCTGGGATGTGGTACATTCACAGGTCGGCACCTTACCCTGGGATGTGGTACAGTCATTGGTCGGCACCTTACCCTGGGATGTGGTACAGTCATTGGTCGGCACCTTACCCTGGGATGTGGTACAGTCACAGGTCGGCACCTTACCCTGGGATGTGGTACAGTCATTGGTCGGCACCTTACCCAGGGATGTGGTACAGTCACATGAAGGCACCTTACCCAGGATGTGGTACAGTCATTGGTCGGCACCTTACCCTGGAATGTAGTACAGTCACAGGTCGGCACCTTACCCTGGGATGTGGTACAGTCATTGGTCGGCACCTTACCCAGGGATGTGGTACAGTCACAGGTAGGCACCTTACCCAGGGATGTGGTACAGTCATTGGTCGGCACCTTACCCAGGGATGTGGTACAGTCATTGGTCAGCACCTTACCCTGGAATGTGGTACAGTCATTGGTCGGCACCTTACCCTGGGATGTGGTACAGTCATTGGTCGGCACCTTACCCTGGGATGTGGTACAGTCATTGGTCAGCACCTTACCCTGGGATGTGGTACAGTCATTGGTCAGCACCTTACCCAGGGATGTGGTACAGTCATTGGTCGGCACCTTACCCTGGGATGTGGTACAGTCACAGGTCGGCACCTTACCCTGGGATGTGGTACAGTCATTGGTCGGCACCTTACCCAGGGATGTGGTACAGTCACAGGTCGGCACCTTACCCTGGGATGTGGTACAGTCACAGGTCGGCACCTTACCCTGGGATGTGGTACAGTCATTGGTCAGCATCTTACCCAGGGATGTGGTACAGTCATTGGTCGGCACCTTACCCTGGGATGTGGTACAGTCACAGGTCGGCACCTTACCCTGGGATGTGGTACAGTCATTGGTCGGCACCTTACCCTAGGATGTGGTACAGTCACAGGTCGGCACCTTACCCTGGGATGTGGTACAGTCACAGGTCGGCACCTTACCCTGGGATGTGGTACAGTCATTGGTCAGCACCTTACCCAGGGATGTGGTACAGTCATTGGTCAGCACCTTACCCTGGGATGTGGTAGAGTCATTGGTCAGCACCTTACCCAGGGATGTGGTACAGTCATTGGTCAGCACCTTACCCAGGGATGTGGTACAGTCATTGGTCAGCACCTTACCCTGGGATGTGGTACAGTCATTGGTCAGCACCTTACCCAGGGATGTGGTACAGTCATTGGTCAGCACCTTACCCTGGGATGTGGTACAGTCACAGGTCGGCACCTTACCCTGGGATGTGGTACAGTCATTGGTCGGCACCTTACACAGGGATTTGGTACAGTCATTGGTCGGCACCTTACCCTGGGATGTGGTACAGTCATTGGTCAGCACCTTACCCTGGGATGTGGTACAGTCATTGGTCAGCACCTTACCCTGGGATGTGGTACAGTCATTGGTCGGCACCTTACCCTGGGATGTGGTACAGTCACAGGTCGGCACCTTACCCTGGGATGTGGTACAGTCACAGGTCGGCACCTTACCCAGGGATGTGGTACAGTCATTGGTCGGCACCTTACCCTGGGATGTGGTACAGTCATTGGTCGGCACCTTACCCTGGGATGTGGTACAGTCATTGGTCGGCACCTTACCCAGGGATGTGGTACAGTCATTGGTCGGCACCTTACCCAGGGATGTGGTACAACCATTGGTCGGCACCTTACCCAGGGATGTGGTACAGTCACAGGTCGGCACCTTACCCTGGGATGTGGTACAGTCATTGGTCAGCACCTTACCCAGGGATGTGGTACAGTCATTGGTCGGCACCTTACCCAGGGATGTGGTACAGTCATTGGTCAGCACCTTACCCTGGGATGTGGTACAGTCATTGGTCAGCACCTTACCCAGGGATGTGGTACAGTCATTGGTCAGCACCTTACCCTGGGATGTGGTACAGTCATTGGTCAGCACCTTACCCTGGGATGTGGTACAGTCACAGGTGGCACCTTACCCTGGGAGTCATTGGTCAGTCATTGGTCGGCACCTTACCCAGGGATGTGGTACAGTCATTGGTCGGCACCTTACCCTTGGATGTGGTACAGTCATTGGTCAGCACCTTACCCAGGGATGTGGTACAGTCACAGGTCGTCACCTTACCCTGGGATGTGGTACAGTCACAGGTCGGCACCTTACCCTGGGATGTGGTACAGTCATTGGTCAGCACCTTACCCAGGGATGTGGTACAGTCATTGGTCAGCACCTTACCCTGGGATGTGGTACAGTCATTGGTCAGCACCTTACCCTGGGATGTCGTACAGTCATTGGTCAGCACCTTACCCAGGGATGTGGTACAGTCACAGGTCGGCACCTTACCCTGGGATGTGGTACAGTCATTGGTCGGCACCTTACCCAGGGATGTGGTACAGTCACAGGTCGGCACCTTACCCAGGGATGTGGTGCAGTCATTAGTCGGCACCTTACCCTGGGATGTGGTACAGTCATTGGTCGGCACCTTACCCTGGGATGTGGTACAGTCACAGGTCGGCACCTTACCCTGGGATGTGGTGCAGTCATTAGTCGGCACCTTACCCTGGGATGTGGTACAGACAGTCACAGGTCGGCACCTTACCCTGGGATGTGGTACAGTCATTGGTCAGCTCCTTACCCTGGGATGTGGTACAGTCATTGGTCGGCACCTTACCCAGGGATGTGGTACAGTCATTGGTCGGCACCTTACCCAGGGATGTGGTACAGTCATTGGTCAGCACCTTACCCTGGGATGTGGTACAGTCATTGGTCGGCACCTTACCCTGGGATGTGGTACAGTCATTGGTCGGCACCTTACCCTGGGATGTGGTACAGTCATTGGTCGGCACCTTACCCTGGGATGTGGTACAGTCATTGGTCGGCACCTTACCCTGGGATGTGGTACAGTCATTGGTCGGCACCTTACCCAGGGATGTGGTACAGTCATTGGTCGGCACCTTACCCAGGGATGTGGTACAGTCATTGGTCAGCACCTTACCCTGGGATGTGGTACAGTCATTGGTCGGCACCTTACCCTGGGATGTGGTACAGTCATTGGTCGGCACCTTACCCTGGGATGTGGTACAGTCATTGGTCGGCACCTTACCGTGGGATGTGGTACAGTCATTGGTCGGCACCTTACCCTGGGATGTGGTACAGACAGTCACAGGTCGGCACGGCAGTCACCTTGCGATATGGTACAGGAAGTAATAGGTACTAGTTCACCTAGTACCTATTACCTAAAGTGTACCTAGTACACTTTAAGGGAGCCGGTCGTCCGAGCGGACAGCACGCTGGACTTGTGATCCTGTGGTCCAGGGTTCGATCCCAGGCGCCGGCGAGAAACAATGGGCAGAGTTTCTTTCACCCTATGCCCCTGTTACCTAGCAGTAAAATAGGTACCTGGGTGTTAGTCAGCTGTCACGAGCTGCTTCCTGGGGATGGAGGCCTGGTCGAGGACCGGGCCGCGGGGACACTAAAGCCCCGAAATTATCTCAAGATAACCTCAAGATAACCTCCTCGGCCCCTGACTGGAAGAGGTGAACTATGCGTAATTTTGTCATAGACCTCAATCAGGTTTGTCAGGCATGACTTTCGCTTTCTAAAACCATGTTGCCCTTCTCTTACACAGTTTATCAGCTCTAGATGGTCCACTATTCTCCACCTGATTACTCTCTAGAACTTTGCAAAGAATACTTGTTAGTGACACTGGTTTGTAATTTA